AGGTTTTCATCTTTTCTGCTGTGAATGGCCCAGGAGTTTCCACCAAGTCATTGTGGATATCACCCAAGTGAATATTTGTCCAGGTAGTTGGTGATTCCGACCAGAAATTTGCTTTGGTCCAGGCTCTGTCGGGGTTGAAAAGGGAGATTTGGCACCGTCGATGCTTATGAAAAATTTCTGGTCAAATGGTCTTGGGTCGTCTGCCGTTAGAGTGGATAAATAACCGGGATCAATACCCTTTACATGCTTTCTCGCTCCGTCCGTCATGTTGAATTAGTGTTTCTTGCCGCCGACCAAAATAATTCCCACCATGCAACGCGCGCTTTTGTCAACAATGAAACTCGCCTATAGTCATGTAATTAACCACATTCTAGTTATTCAGCACAATGGTATAATTCCAAAATCCCTTAGTGAGCTACTTGGAGACCCCTGACCTGAATCTAATCTGTTTTGTGTACAGCACTTTGGTCAGCTATAAAGTTGTTAAAGTGCTTTATAAATAAAATTGGAACATACATAGAGAAAAAAACATGGTACAGGTCTTTTAATAATTGGCTAAATCAAAACTCCCCACCGTCCTTCTTCAGTAAACTCATCATCTTATGCTAACGTATGATAACGGCCTCGCGCCTCTCACAGCACTGATTTAAAAGTGATGCTTCCGCGTTTGTCTGCGACTTCCGCTGTTTATTCAGTCTATTCACAGAGGAAATGGGCTCTTGGTGTGTCACTGCTGTGGACTGGACCTCCGCTCGACCCAGGTGTAATAAACAAGGCTGGAATCTCACTGCAAAACACGGAAACACCAGCAGAAATCAGTAAAAAATCAGTTGAAATCAGCGTCTTTATTTAAGTACATATGACACTATTGTCTGATCTATGTTCTATTGTAGTTTCCTCATCACAAACAAACCTGAAGTTGTGTTTTGTTTCATTCATACTTTAACACACAAACCCTACAGGTTTCTCTCTCAAACTGAAAACTCTGTTCCACCTTGTGATGTCACGTGGTAATACAGGAAGTACTCTAATGTGATTTTAAACTCCAGACACCTTCATTAGAATCATTTGGATCATTTCAGACCTGGAGTTGCCGATCTCTACTGAACTGAAGGTAAAAGGAGGTGTTCACTTGAAAACGACCACTACATGACATCACAAGGTGGAACATTTTGAGCTTTCTGAATGAAACTAAACACAACTCCAGGTCTGTTTTTAATGAGGAAACTACATTATAACATGACTTAAAACTCACAAGAGTCCGAGTCCATTTTCTGTGATACGGAGGCACATATGGGACAAAACATGTTGATGCACCTTATTCTTTTTTATTTTCTATTTTCCAAGGCAAATTAATTATATTCAGTATTGGGGAGTAACAGATTACATGTACCGGAGTCAGTAATCAGAGTACAAATTATTATGAGTAACTGTATTCAGTTACAGTTACTTTTTCAGTGAGTGGTAATTGGATTACAGTTACTTTGTTGAAATAAATTTTCACAGAGGTATTTTCCTGTTTTTGCATTTTTTTTTTTTTTCCCTTTTCTTCGGTAATTCCACTCATTGCTGGAAGCTAAACCAGGTTTAAACTAGATCAAAACCAGGTCTAAAACCAGGTCTAAACCAGGACTAATACCAGGACTAAAACCAGGTCTAAACCAGGACTAATACCAGGACTAAAACCAGGTCTAAACTAGATCTAAACCAGGTCTAACCCAGGCCTAAACCAGGTCTAAAAACAGGTCTAAAACCACATCTAAAACCAGGACTAAACCAGCACTGAACCAGGACTAAAACAGGATTGAACAGGACTAAACCAGGACTAAATCCTGCTGCGTGGACGTGTCTTCTCTTCTTCTATCAATAATATTTTGAATACGGTAAAGTAAAGTCTGAGTTTTTATTTTCTTTTATCAGACAAAACATCTTATGTTATGATGTCTTTGCTTCTCTACAGTAAATCAAGTAATCCAAAGTATTCAGATTATGTTACTCACTTTAAGTAATTTAATGGATTCTGTTACAAACTACATTTTGGTGTGTGTAATCTGTAATCTGTAGGGGATTACATTTTAAAAGTAACCTTCCCAACACTGATTATATTTTAGTTACTACTGCCTCTAGGTGATGACATCACAAGGTGGAACAGCATTTTGAGCTTTGGAGATGCAAACAGAGATCAATAAATGTTAATCTAATGTTAATCTTGTTTTATATCACTGGCTGGAGTCTGAGTTGGAGTTTTGTTTGCGTAAACTGGTTTTTATATTTCCCAAGGCAGTGTGTAAAATCCCTCAGTCGTCCAGGTAGAATCTATGGTGAAAGAAAGAAATTCAATTCAAATTCAAGAAATTCAATTTTGTCAACTGGACTAAAGTTTATTTTGGTCGAATCTGTTCCGCAGCTCATTCAAATAAAAGCAGAAGTAGCTTGGATGAGCTGGGAAACATATTTGATGAAAATAAACTTTAGTCCAGTTGACAAAATTGAATTTCTCCTTTTGCCATTTTCCCAAGCAGTTTTTTTTTTTTCTTCCAGTTTATTAGTCCCAGTTTAGGCCTGGTTTAACCCCAAATTTAAGCCTAGTTAATTCAGTTAGTTCATTACTATATTCTGAATTTACTAAATTTGATTTTTGTTGTCTATTGTTTTTAGATTTAAAGGCATTTGTACCTGATTTTTACAGACTGAAAAACAGGACTAGTTTGTTTTTAACAGTTTGCCGTAGTTCTTCACTTAATTTATGCATTCAGAGTGTTGATGAGTTTTGCTGTGAAGGTAAAGCCAACTTTAACTAGCATGCTAATTCACACTTCCTGATTAATGAACAATAAAATGCTCAGACTCTACACAGCAGACTTATTTTGACCTCCTTATACGATACATCTGTACTGGGGCACAACACATTTTCCTCAAATACATGGAAACAAACTGAACATACTGTAGGACTTTTAAGCGGGAGTCTTGTTTTTACGCTCATGTCTCGGTTGGCTGGTTCCACAGCGGAGGGGAGTCCCGCAGACGCTCTCCCCCCCAGCAGGAGGCTCTCTGCTGGGGGAGAGCGAACGCGTCGGGGTCCCGGGGAGAACTGTTAGCAGCTGCTCGGCCTGTGGAGATCTTCGTTATCAGCTGCTAATGGGTTTGATGTACGACTAACAGGCGAAACACCAGAGAGAAGTGTCACCCATGAACCGTGGAAACACTCAAAAAAAAAAAACGCAAAAAAATGACCTCAAATCAGATTATTTACATTGAATTTAATTAAATGTGTAGCTTAGGTTGGATGTATTTACTTTACTTGGCTTACATCTCATAACTGACATATTTTAGTAGTTTTTTGTAGTTTTTTTAGTAGTATTTTTTGTGGTGTAACAAAAATAAATAAATAAAAATATCGCAACCTAAAATGGACAATTCCTTATCTGATTATTAGGCACTTAAACCTTAAATTAACTCTTAGTTTTCATTTTTAAATTTACACATTAATATCATAACAAAACTATACTTATAATGTTTTGAGTTTCTTTAACTTTTTTTTTTGTTTTAAGTCGAAGTTCTACATCAGCGGTGTCAAACTCAAATTCATATTGGGCCAAAATTAAAATCTAGGACTAAGTCGTCGGCCAAACTAAATATTTATTGAAAAATGTCACCAACATCTGCATGTTTTCTCTTCTTTCGAGATCTGTAATGTTAAACCTTTTCTTATTAAAATAAATGTTTAATAATAGTTTTGCTTGAACATTGAATCCTGAACAAGCTGAATATAAAATAATAACAACATTTTAAATAAATAATGTTTCTATAGTTGATCTGTAGCCGGTGGGCAGCTCTAATACATGTTTGATATGATCTCACGGTCCAAATATAATCATATCGCGAGCCAAATTTGGCCCCCAGACCTGAGTTCGATATGTCTGCTCTACATCCAAGATATCTCTCACCGATGAAACGCCAAACATCTGGGCAAAAGAGGTACTTTAAATGACATTAATGACTGGCGAGGAGAAAATTCAGTTCGTCGACTGGACAAAAGTTAGTTAGATTGAAGACGTTTCGCAAGCTGCTTCTTCAGTTTTGTCCAATCGACGAACTGAATTTTCTCCTCGCCGTGGATTCTACCTGGAAGACTGAGGGATTCTTCAGACGTTAATGACATTTATTTGAATCATATTTGAATACCAGGTTTAATTAATGCATTTATTTTGTTTAACCTGCAGGTCTTAACTTAAATATCTTAAGTCTGAATGCATTCAGAATATGTAACTTGTAATTTTGTTTTAAATTGTCAGTTGCTATGGAAACAGTCCTCATTTTTCACCATTCTGAAACCTGTGGATATCAATGATCTATCAGCAGTGTAAGAAAAACATGATCACATTGGTAGGGACTTAAAACATTGCCATAAAAGTAACAAACAGACTCCAGAAAAAAAAAAAAAAAAATTGCTGTTTTTTTTTTAAACGGACACTGTAAAATCAAACCCAAATTACGACTTATGTGGAAAACGTTTTTGCAAAGTTTCTACATTTACTCAAAGGCACAGTCTGTAACTTTCTGCAGCTTTCCTTGTTTATGATTCCATAGAAACAGAAAAGTAAAACCACACTTTGGAACATTCCCCGTTAAAACAGATTCAAGCCCTTTCACTGTAAATAAACATAACCAAACTGAAAAACTATGCTTATATTTTTGGGGGATTTTTTTTGGCTAAAATATCACACAAGATAACACCCAATACATGTTGAAATAATAGTGAAAATAATAGTTTTTGCAGACGAAAACAAACATTTCTTGAGTCAAATTTAAGCAAGACAAGACAAGGTTTTGTAATTATTTCAGTGTAGTTTTATTGTTCGAATATAAAGAATAAATAAATCCTTAATTTACAGGATAAAACACGTCTGTAGCAGTAAGTCCATGTGAGGTCCATATTATCATCAACAGTCCATAGGTGGCGCTACGTCCATAAATACAAATATATATATAAGGCATTACTCTGATGATAGACTCTGCGTACACTAATACTGGCTTTTTTTTTTTTTTTTTTTTACACTGGAGTTACATTCAGCACGTTCACAGCCCGTTTCCCCGTTGGCTGCAGGTTCGATCACACGTTACAACTCTAGAATCACATGAAAATCACAGAAAATCATTACAAATCATGTGCCTGGAGGTCATTCACAAATTCAACAGAAGGTCTCAAGGTATCGGCCAAAGAAGATTAAACAAAATACCGCTTTAAATTCATGACAAAATGTGGATACGGTAAAAGAAAACCGACAAAAAAAATCACCGAAATTGTTTGTGTTTGTTTCACGTTGGAATTTTCAAATTTGTCGATGAATTGTGAAAAATTTGACAAAAATATATGGCGGAATTTCCAGTTTTGTTGTTAAAAAGAAGTGACCTAACTTACTTAAATCATAACTGGATTTAAAACATACGTGAAATTGTATTTTTTTGCGAAACTGTAGCCACAAAACTCTGTTCCTTGGCATTTTTGACAGAATTAACTACATTTGTGTATCTAAAGCTGCATAGACACAACAATACTTGCCTATAGCTGTTCCCTTATAGCATATTTAAACATTTTCTACCTTATGTCCCTTTAAATTGCAGATACAGGCATCTTTACGTTTATCTGAGACATCCCCAGTACGTCTCAGTTGGCCAGTTTTCCCATTTGACAACTACATTTTTGCAGATTTCACTCGTCGTCATTGTCAAAAACCAAAAAAGCAGATAAGTTAAAATGTCTAATATTAAATACTTTGTTCGCAAATACAATTCTTATAATACACAGAAGCCTCGCACGTCAGTTTTAAGGCTTTCAACTTTTGCAATGAAGAACCATCGTCCATAAAAAAACATGTCTTCCATCGCTCGCATTATTTCGTTTACTGTTTCGAGTATAGTAGTTTAGCAGTACTGTCGTTTTCCAGTGGCTGAGAAGTCCGTTTTGATTTGGATTACTGGAATAAACAGTCTAAAGAGCTATTTTCAACTGCGTTTTAGTTTTAAATCATGTTTTGTCTCGACTAGTTAAGATGACACGACATTTCTGACTGACGTAAAACAAGAAAGTTACCTTATTTCAACATTTTCAGAAACTTTAAGTCAATGCAACTCAACAATTTAGATTTTTTGCAGTGAATACAGCAGTTGATTGCAGATACCTCCGAAGTTTGCCAGTTTTTCTTTCATCGTGAGAAAGTCCGAGTGAGTAGTCTTTAGCTGGCGCAGGAGCATTTGCAGTCCGTTATAATGGGATAGTGTACCAAGATCCAGGAGCATTTGAGTCCTCCTTTCCGGACAGCACACCTCCAACTCAAAACCTTGAGATGCGTTGAGTTTGACGGCCGGCACTGCATTCCCTCAGGTACCGAACAGGAGCGCTTGTTCAGGCAGCTCCCCGCCCGCAAGAACCTGGGCCAAAACCTTGAACCGAGGTCCGTCCACGTGTAGACCACCGGACAAAACGAATACGCCCACAACCACTGCTGCAGGCGCCTTTTCAACTTCTTACTCGCCTTCATCTTTTTACCCAAATGCGCGTCGAAATCCACGGCGCGGATCTCTTTGGGCAAAATCCCGCTCGGCTTCTGGATTTCTTGGAAGTCGTCGTTGGCGTTGTATCCTTCCGAAGTCGGGGGGAAGACGGAGAGAAACCGCGCGTCGAAATCGCCCAGGGTGCCGCGCATTTCGGTTTCGTTAAAGTCCCGTTCTTTGGGGTCGAAAATGGGGTCCGGGTTCTCCTTTAGCACCACCACAGGTAAACTGTCACTCGGAATCGGCCGGAGGAGGAAGTCATGCTGGCAAATCCCATTATGGATAAACAACGCAACAGAAAATACGAAAAGAAACATGCTGTCCATTTTCAGGAGGTAAAAGTTGTGAAGGAAAAGTCAAAACGCAGGAGCCATTTCAGGAGCGAGAGGCAGAGGCTGTGATGGGGAGGGTCAGTGTGTGTGTAGAATCCACGTTTGGGTCGTCATTGTGCAGAGAGGAGAGTTCGAATGCTCAGTGAGGAGAGAGGGACAGGCGTGGGGCTTTTATATGAGGCCAGGGCAGGGGGCGGGGCTTAGAGAGCGGAGGGGCGGGGCTAAAAGTGGTTCAGAGGAGGAGAGAGAGACCGGAGAGAGAGAGAGCAGAAAGAGAGAAGAGAGAGGGGCAGAATGCACACTCCTGACTGTTGGCTTCAGTTACAGCTTGAATCTCCTGTAGGGCAAATGATGCAACTAAAAATCATTAAAAACAATTTGAATGACAAGAAACCACAAAATTACTTGATACAAAATAATCACGTTATTGACAACATGATCACACCCCCAAATGTCATGATTGTTTCTGTTAAAACATCATACAATATTATCAGAAAATGATAACCGTATTTTTCAGACGATAAAGTGCACCGGATTATAAGGCGCAATATCAATAATGTTGAATTCTCTCATCTATTTTCATACATAAGGTGCATCAGATTATAAGGCACATTAATTGAAACAAATGGATGACACTTGAGACTGATCCTTTGCCCAAACGTCCACGATCTATTGGCAGATCGTGATGTAATTCGCCCGGCGTTGCCTCTCTGTCTTGGTGAATATGTATTATGAATGTGAATGTGGTGGATAATTAAAGTTTTTGGGTTTTATTTTCCTACGTCTCAAGGATTCAAATATACATTGAGTAATAATGTGTTTAATGCAGCTTTGCGCACATTTGTTTACGTTTTACAGGAAGGAAACTTAAAACCACATGGCTCATTTGCATAAACTATAAAGCGCTGAAAAAAAGCAGCTCGCTCCTTGTGGGCTGATTCTGTTGGACTAAAGGACACAACTCCGCGAGGCTCCTGACTACAGTAGCCGTAATGCTCCGACAATCCATCAAGTGGTGCGGCTTCGTAGTTTACCAAAGTCATACTAAAACTTTTTTTCTTTTTTTTTTTTGGGCCAAACTTAATATTTATTGAATTTTTATATATATAAATTTTTTTACTAAATACTAAAACATTTTGACAGATTTTTGAGTGCCGTGTACCACATAAAATCAGTTCAAGGTCAGTAAACGCAACCAGAATTAATTCATAAGGCACACCGGATTATAAGGTGCACTGTCCATTTTTGAGAAAATTTAAGGATTTTAAGTGCGCCTTATAGTCCGAAAAATACGGTAATAAGAAATTAGCATGTAAAAACAGGAAGCATGACCACTTTAACAAACAGGCCGGTTTGTTACCTGCACTCAGCACCTTTACCCTTCACTAAGACACTTTAAAACAGATAAGATGATAACACATAGCACTTTAAACATATTTGCACATACTACAAAACACATTGCACATAATTGGTTTTAAAAATGTATTTAAAGTCTTTCCTGTGAACGCCTTTAATCCTGAGGCACAGTGTCACTTTAACTGACCTCTGCTGGACCCTGAAGGAAAAGGAGTTTTTATTAATGAACCAATGACCTTTTAAATTGAATACTGCAATATATATGGTGAATTATATCTACTTTGGGAATGTTCCAAGTGTTGATGTGTGTGTTAGTGTATTTTCCGACATGACGCTATTTAGACATTGACATTTGGAGTTGCGGCATAAAACTTTTTTTTTTTCAAGCGTCCCACTACTTTGACTTTTTTTTTTTCATTGTCAGAGTAGCAGCACTTCATAATATCATAAGATGTTTCGGCCGGTGTAAAGCTCTTGATCAGAAAATACTTCAGTTACATACAGTAGAATATCAGACAGTGGGATAATGTCCTCACTGATCGCCGTGGGAAACACTCATGCATTTGAAACAAACACACAAACAAAAAGAGTATAGGACAGACTTTGGGAAAATATCTCATCTAAAATGCTCTTTTTGCTTCATTCATTCATCATTCCATGATCTGTGGAAAACACCATACAGCCTAAATCACAGGTGTCAAACATGCGGCCCGGGGGCCAGATCCGGCCCTCCAAGACCTTTAATCTGGCCCTCGGCTGATTTTCTACTAAAATATTTTAATTATATTTTCTATTAAAATCTTGTTAATTTTCTGTGGTGTTTATCACAGCAGCGTCTCCAGAGTCTCTGTACGTGGCCCCTCCCACCAGAGCAGCACAAATGAAGACTTGTCTCTTTCCAAACGCTCTTAAAGGACGATCGTTTTGACTGTTGACCGTGACACCCTCATCAGAAAAATGTCACACATGAGAAAAGTGGAGCCGAGTGCAGGATTTTACAACAAAAATTGACTTATTCCTATTTCTACAAGTTAATTAAGTTCATGTTAAAACTTTGTGTTGAAATTGTATTTTTCTTAAAGTTTCAGGTTGTTCATAATATTATAATATTTTGTAAAAGAAAGAGTTCATCAATTAAAAAAATATTTCTGTAATAGATTTGTGTTTCTCTGCACAAATATTTGAACTTATTGTTATTTTTGGGGTTTATATGACATGAGTTTTCTGATCCGGCCCCTTTGGGATCAAAGTAGGTTGGATACGACCCCCGGAACAAAATGAGTTTGACACCCCTGATCTAAATCAATAACCGGTCGAGTTCATTGCTCCAGCTAAATGAGATGACACTCTCACAGCCCAAAACATGTCAAAATAGGGATACTAAAAACCGGCACATCTAAATAGAGGCATGTCGTAATGAAGGGATGTCGGAAAAGCAGCAGACCCCCAACTTACTGATGCAACATGTTTACTAAAGATCACTAAAAATGACTGAAATTGACAAAAAAATCACAAAATTACACGATACAAAATGATGGCGTTACTGACAGCATGAACACACCCTCAAATGTCATGATCGTTTCCATGTCAGAACGTGATACAATATTACCAGAAAATTATATAATTAGAAATCAGCATGTAAAAAGAAGAAATACGGTCACTCTGGTAAAGACACATTCAGAGATTTAAATGTTACTGTATAAAGGACGTCACACACTACGGGAGAATTTGTGTGATTTAGGCTGTGGATGTGGTTGTCCCCGAGTTTGAGGAGGAGAGACGCGACTTTGTGTGTGGTGTCAGTGTAACTCTGAACTGCTGTGTCAGATCGTAACAGAACTGCACCAGCCAATAAAACAGAGCGTCAGGGGCAGACGGAGTGACAGACGTGACTTTTGTAGAGTTGTAAATTTATACTGCAGCATGTCATCCACATTATCCATAGAATATGTCCTACACAAATACTGATACCCAGTCCACAAAACAGTGCTGTGAATCCAGTTTGAAGCGTTCTTTAAAAGTAAAAAGGTGAGAGTAGTTCCTCACGTGTGTGTTTACATCCACACGGTGCACGGCTCGAGGTGAAGCACATTACACCACAAATAATAATAACACAGTTTTGACTTGTATCTAAACTAGAAGTGCAGAGCTCTGATCTTTTGAACACTCAGGAGTCTCAGAGTGAGTGGTTTTACTGTAGACAGGAAACAGCAGACACGAGACACGCTCACATCTGTCTGTCTTTGCGATTAGGGATGTAAAATCTCTTAAGATTCTCCTCATGTCTGTGGTGTGCATTTTTTGTTGCATGTAAAAAAAAAAAATTCTTTAAGACAGAAAAATTCCTGTAGTGTGTGGCAGCCTTAAATGTGTTTGTTTTCCCAACCCTAATTGTTGTAGTTGTGATAAAATGTGTGAACATTTCCTTTAAGATTTGTATTTTTAACATGAAACCTATAATGTTATGAAAAACTATCAAGTCATACAGTAATAGAATCATGCTTACCCCATAAAACTGCAGCTGCCCCTTCTCTGCAGGTTTGATCATGATGTTGTCATTGCTCCTCAGCTCCTGTAACACTTGCTGTTTCACTCAGGGGAGCTTGTGGTGATGTATCCAACACTGAAAAAATGGTCTGAGAGGGGTTGCTCAAATTGCAAAAACTAATTTGACAATAATAACATGACTTTTTTATGTTTCTCTGTCCAGCATGTTTAAATGTTACAAAGGTCACTTGACTGTGGCTGATGTGAGACCTGAGTGTTTTAATCAGGTTGAGGAAACATGACTTTATTATAATCTGTGGTGAGGCTCCTCCCTCTGGAATTCTCCTCCCCAAAACTTTTGGAAGGAAAATTCAAATGTAACAGGACACAGGACACAGGACACAGGACACAGGACACAGGACACAGGACACAGGACACAGGACACAGGACACAGGACACAGGACAGTTCCAGGAGCAGAGGACACACAGTGTGGAGCAGGAGGATTATGAGAACTGATCTGGAGGTGAGACTTTTCAAAGATGTTATATGTTTCTCTGGCCTAGAATGTTGTCATTGTTAAAACATGTTTGTGGTGTTTTATTTGAAATTAGAGTTAATGTAAGAACTATTTCCATCTTGTCCATCTACAAGAGTGTGACAGTTGTACTCAGATTTGATTGTGTTTGTTCCAGAGTCGTCTACAAACACAGAGTGACGTCCAGAGCTCTGCTGCAGCTGTGGGGAACTTCATGAATGTTCTAAAAATGTCTAAAAATGTTCTAATGTTTCAGAACAAATGAAGAAGTTTGAGAACCAACAAAACACAGAGCACAGATGAACAAAGTAAGTAAATCAACTAAAATGATTTTAAACAAATTTTTCAAAATGAACTTCCTATTGAAACAGTTTTCGTGTTTCTTCAGGGTGATGTGGCACTAGGAGACTTTATACCAGATGCCCTCCCTGTTACTGCGTTTAGACAAAGAAAAGCAGCACATGGTGAGTTTTGTTTCTGCAGATACACTTCTAATGTTCATGTGATTGTGTTCTGCTCCATTATAGGTACTTTAAATGTATTTAAACATGTAGAACAGAGTGGATCATCATCATGTGATCTTGTGTTCTTCCTGTGTCCACAGAGACCAGAGCGTCTTCACTGGAATAATCCTCACACTGTCCAGCTCCACACTGTGTGTGTGTGTCCCTGTGCTCTGTGTGTTTGATTCTGTTTAAGACCAAACACAACTGTGGAAAACTAAACACTGTTTTTATATTCTTTT